CCGACCACCAAACAAAAAGAAAAACAAAAACGAAAAAAGTAAGAAACGACAGACCGAAAACGAAAATGCTATAAAAAAAAAGGTCGTGGCACGCTAGAAGGACACAAAACGACACGCCAGAAGGAGGAAAAAAAAACTAAAAGTAAAGAAGATAATACAAAATTACAAAAATAACACAAAATCAAAAAGAAAAAAAAGGGGGCCGGGGCACGAAACGACACTTTCTTGCTATCCGACGGCGGGTGCGTTCAGATATGAATGCGCATCGACGCCCGCCGTGTACCCGGCCCGGTGGGCGCTCTCTCTCGTTTAGTGGCACGCTGTGAACAATTCGGTACGCGCGCCACTCTGCACAACGTCCCTCCCTCGATCGCCTTCATCCGCCGGCCCGAATCAAAACTTCGGGGCGATTCCGGCGCGCAGCGGAACACGACCTCCCCCCCACTGGCCCACCGCGCTTAAGGGGTAGGATATATATATATATATATATATATATATATATATATAGAGAGAGAGAGAGAGAGAGAGAGAGAGAGAGAGAGAGAGAGAGAGAGAGACCTTAAGCCTAATCCAACTTACCCCCTACGCGTCCTACCGTCCTACCTATGACTCCTTCAACGACTTGCTGCCCTATATGCCTTGGGCCGCGATATTGGTTGGTGACGGAGGGGGAGGAAGAAGGTGTGAAGGTACTTGGCTATGGTGGATGGGTGAAGGAGGTGGAGGTGGAAGAAGGTGTGAAGGTGAGAGGCTATGGTGGATGGGTGAAGGAGGTGGAGATGGAAGAAGGTGTGAAGGTGCTTGGCTGTGGTGGATGGGTGAAGGAGGTGGAGGTGGAAGAAGGTGCGAAGGTGCTAGGCTATGGTGGATGGGTGAAGGAGGTGGAGATGGAAGAAGGTGCGAAGGTGCTTGGCTATGGTGGATGGGTGAAGGAGGTGGAGGTGGAAGAAGGTGTGAAGGCGCTTGGCTATGGTGGACGGGTGGAGGAGGTGCAGGTGGAAGAAGGCGTGAAGGTGCTCGACTATGGTGGATGGGTGAAGGAGGTGGGGGTGGAAGAAGGTGTGAAGGTGCTTGGCTATGGTGGATGGGTGAAGGAGGTGGAGGTGGACGAAGGTGCGAAGGTGCTTGGCTATGAAGGGTGGGTGAAGGAGATGGAGGTGGAACAAGGTGTGAAGGGACTTGGCTGTGGTGGATGGGTGAAGGAGGTTGGACGTGGAAGAAGGTGTGAAGGTACTTGGCTATGGTGGATGGGTGAAGGAGGTGGAGGTGGAAGAAGGTGTGGAGGTACTTGGCTATGGTGGATGGGTGAAGCACGTGGAGGTGGAAGAAGGTGTGA